CTATCCTCCCCCTTATCTACGCCCCTGTGGACAGGAACAGCAAAAAAAACTATCGAGGGAGATCATGTCACAGCACTTGTAAGGCTATGGCTGGGATAGGCTATGGCTACTGTGCAAGTGTGGGTCCCGGTCTTCCGCATTGTCGGAGACATGCACTAGTGCGCAGGCACACAACAAAGCGGACTCGCAAAGACGAGCTAACGTGACGCACAGGAAGTGACACAGCTCCCTCTGATTGATGGGTCTATTTAAACTAGCCTGCCCAGTTGACTAGTGATAAACAGTCTTTCAGCTTGTGCCCTTGTTTCCTATTTCTCTCTTTGTTTATCACCTGTTGCTTTGACAACACCTGATTGCTGCCTGCCCATGACCTCTGCTTGTTTCCTGGATTCACTTCTGTCTTCTCCCTTGGTATTGTGCTGCCTGACTGGTGTGACTGCTGGTTTGTCTGACTTCACTCCTGTTCCTGCTTCAGCCCACGCTGGTCTCTCAGCTGGATTCCGGTCCTGCTTCATCATCCCTGGGAACCTGCTGCTGGACTGTGACCTGACACAGTGTCTGAACACCTTGGCACCCATGCTACTCTTTGTCTACTCACTCCCTGTTCCCACTTCCATGGGTGTGAGACAAGAGCCGCAAGGGAGGCCTCCTCAGCTAATTCGGTCTTCTACCAGTTATGTGATAGCAGTCTACAAGCAATATATCCAGTCTGAAACACAGCCAATCAAAACATACCTGTAACTGAAATTTTACATACACCGACTGATTACAAAACTTTTCATAAATATGTTGAATTTAGCAAACAAAACTCAAAAACCTTAGCAATGAAAAAAATGCCTTCATCAGCTCAACTTCTACCAGTAATTGTCTAACTTCGACCCATGCTTGCCTTTGCAAACCTTTAACTCCCAGATATATAAACATGGGGCATTTTCAGCAGACCTAGGATAATTGTCAAGTATGTTTTTGCTTCCCATATTGAAATTCCATTTTAAGGGTTCATTCCCTCAGATGTATATAAACAAAGGTGCATGGGCATACAACGTAAAATACTCACACCCATATGCATGCATATGAAAACACCGTTTACATGTACACACCCACGTGCAGTGTATTGTGTGCATACAATCCTATGGGCACAAAATCACAACAGCTGAAGCTCCCAGGCACCGACAGGTATATATTGACATTTTATTTCTATTGCAGATATTGATGAATGCCGTGCCAATAATGGTGGCTGCGATCATAACTGTCGTAATTCAGTTGGTAGCTTTGAGTGTGGTTGCAAAAAAGGTTACAAACTGCTAATTAATGAAAGAGGCTGCCAAGGTGAGTGTTTTATGTCCAACAATACTGGATGACATTTAGGTGTCTTTTAACAGTTTATTTGGATTCCTGACAGTTTTATACTTCCAGGTTAAACTGATCAAAGGACTCAGAGAAATAAGTAGCTGAATTTATTTGAAATGATTGTCTTTCCTTGTTAAAGTTTGGCTTTACCCTTTACTAGACATGTGCAATTCATTTGGTTCCGAATTGAAATTCGGACGGATATCGGCATATTCAGACATTTCGGATGCATCCATATTTCGGAAATAAATAACAAGCCTCATAACGAAATTCAAATGCATCTGACATTTTTTCTGAAAGTCATTCGGAATGAACTTGTGTTGTTAAACTTTAATTTTAAAAAAACAGTGTGGAGTCCCCTCCCCAATTCATACTAGACCCTTTAGGTCTGGTAGGAATTTTAGGGGGGACCCCAACACCCAAAAAATATATAAGTGTGAGGGTCCCCCTAAATCCCTTACCAGACCCTTGATCCGAGCAGCAGCCTGGCAGAGCAGGAAAGAGGTGGATGAGCATGCACCCCCTTTCCTGCATCAGACCAGGCCACATGCCGTTAACATGGGGAAGGAACCCCCTGACAAAGTACCTTGTTCCCATGTCGAGAGGACAAGGGCCTCTTCCCCACACAACCTTGGCCTGGTGGCTATGGGGGTCTGCGAGCAGAGGGGCTTATCTGAATCTGAAGGTGTAGTTGTTACCCCTACTCATTCAGCAAATACAGTAATATAGTAAATAAACACACCACACTGTAAAAAAAAAACACAACACAGTTTTAGACCATTCCTTTATTTAAAAAAAAATGTCTCTCAATATAATCCACTTTTCAATCACATTGTCAAGCGACAATCCCAAAAAAACACCGGCCGCAAAACAATAGCTCTGCTCCCGAATGTCAATAAGGGGGCGGAACAAGTCGTGACATCACAAAACTTGTTCCGCCAATTTGTTTACATTCCATTAGGGGACCGAGAGCTGTCACGGAATGTAAACAAATGGGCAGAACAAGTCCCAAAACTCGCTCCGGAATTGTCAAAAACGGTGTTGTGGTTTTTTTGTCACTTTGCTGCAGCAAACCTTCGTTCGTAATTATAAGGAATTATGAAAAAATTTGGATTCGTTCACAATTTACAAATTATACCAAAATGCAATTTGTTATGAAGCTGATCTGTTTTCCCAGTCAGGGATTTTTTATAGGTAGCAATTTTTTTCAGTAACATTACCCCATCACCACCAGTAAAACAAGGACTATCCCTGAAAATCTGGTTATAGGTTACATCTGTACATTGCAGTTTTTAGGAAGACTAAGTAGATCCCATTGGAGGATTGCTCTCTTCTTTATTCAGCCTTTCACCTTGCCTTGATTCTGTCAGTACAAAGTTTGTCGGTACAGAGTCCGTTGTCTGAAATTAAGCTACTTTATTTTTCTTAGCCATATCAGAGAAGTTAAAGTGGGACCTTTATGTTGCACAGCAGCTATAACATGTGAACAAAAACATGAATGTGTGTGACAACCTCCTTCATGGGTGGGTGTATTTAATATTAGATGTGACAAACCTCTTATGGACATTTCCTCACCTCCAGATATTGATGAGTGCTCCTTTGACAGAACATGTGATCACATCTGTGTCAACACTCCTGGGAGCTTTCAGTGTTTGTGTCACAAGGGCTATACGCTATATGGACTCACTCACTGTGGAGGTAATGTTTTTTCCTTGCTTGCTATTACATTGCCCTTTATTATTAGCTCCTAGACATGTGCATTTGGCGTCAGACAACGAATTAATGTATGCCGTATACGAAAACTATATTTGGGCATATATTAATTTGTTTTGCATGTGCTGCATCAAGTGACATCATAAGCATTTATGGCGCCGGCTTCTTGGTGTATACCAAGATATACACCAAGATGTCGGTGCTTATACATGTGTATGATGTCACTCAACGCCGCAGCATGCGTGGCCTCGTGACGTCATGGGATCCTTCTCCAAGATGGCGGTGGGCATGTGTAAAACACGCTGGTGGCCGATATGGTTGCTGCACAATTTGTTTCAGATTCTAAGGTTTATTGCCTCAGAATCCGAAACAGCATAATTGTATATTTTGTAAAACAAAACGAATTAAAAGGTTTTTACTTGTTTCGTCCTAAATGAATTTTTATGTAGTGCAAATGTCTGTAAGCTCCTTAATCATTGGACATGCTCTTTGCATTCTCCTGAAATCATCCAGAAACAAATCTTATTTGAAATACATACTTGATAGTAAGCATAAGGGCTAGCTCACAGCAGCCGATTCTGCCCGTAATGCACTTGATTCCGGTCGGCTCACTTTGTTTTGGGGCGGGAGAGGGCGTGGCGGTGTATTGAACTCAATGTCACCTCAGCCATGCCCTCCGTTCATAATGCGATCTCCCTCGCGACCTTGCACTACTTTTTTTGACTGTGCGATGCATTCCCGTGCGGGCGATTGCATTGCGGCCAGAGAGCGTGGGTGCAGTGCCATTGAGTTCAATGCACCGCCACGCCCCCTCCTGCCCCAAAACAAAGTGAGCCGGCTGGAATGTGATGCAGTGCGTTCCAGCCCAGAATCTGGCCAGAACGCACTGGGGCTGGTGTGAACTAGCCCTAAAGCATGTGTCAAGGCAAAATTAAAAAAAACATATGCAGTACATCTTTGTAATACATAAACATTTCCCTATGTTTTATTCCTTTATAGACTCAGCAAGTAAAAAAAACCTGTTGATCATCCAGAAATGCACTTTGTTTCTAAGTCCTGTTGTGAGTTGACAGAGGTTACATTAGTCTTCCTTCATCTTTTGCTAAACTACTCAGCCACTTAACCACTTCAACTTTCCAATCTCTACAACACGTTTGGCTAATTAAGCGTAGTCCATGATAAAAACTAGGAGGTCTATATAGCCTATTTGAGATAATGTTGGCAGTGTGCACATGGCACAGGACATACAAGTCAATTTCTGACTAGATCAACAGCTTTTTTTTCACTTATCAAACAGATAACAAAATGCTTACAACAGCATCATTACCAAACCAAAAGGAAGCAAGAGAAATTCATTTTAGAGTTTACATATACTTTAACCACTTCATCTCTTGCACCTGTATAACCCCTATGGACCCGAGCAATTTTTACATGTCCAATATGGGCTTGTTTATTTGACAATAACTTCGTCATTACTTGACTAACTAATATATACATTGTTTTGTTTTTTAGAAAAACTAGGCTCTTTTTTTGTCAATATTGTTTGAGAAAAAAAATGTTTTCTATGTAATCTATAAACAAAAATGTAAAAAAATATGGTAATAAAATAGTATTATTAAAAAAAGTAGACAAATGATATCTCAGGGGAGAAGCTGCCTAACTCCAGTGAAGCTTTAAAGTGTAAAGGTTGCCCATCGTAGTCCTGCATTTAGAGACTGTTGAAGATTATTACCATACTGATTTTGATACACTTGAATGAATTTAAATTTCTGCTCCATAGTATATATCCCCACCCTTACCCCTAATCTCACAATCTACAATGCCATTTTACTATGGTAATCATGTTCATTCTGTGTAGAAAACACATTTAGAACTACTAACAGGTATGTATATATTGCATTACATACAGTGAAATAAATAATATAAGCATAGAAGAAGTATCACTTGAGGACATAAATAAATCTGTTACATACAACAGGTTAGAATATATCTTTTAATGTTACATCACCAAACACAAATTGTGTACCTTCTGAGAATACGAGGGGAGGCCAATACGTTCTTACCCTCACCATGATCTAGATGTGCTAGAGCTCTGAAATTGTGTAGGTTTATTTATATCTTAGTAATATGCATGCCAATTTTTGTTTTTGTAGGTCGTGGGGGAATTATAGTTAGAGCCAAGAGAAATGAAGTAGGTGTCATGCCGGACAAAGTTGAATACCAAGCCGTGATTAGGTTCCTCCATCTTCAAGGGAAATCTGCCCAAATAATCTAGCTGCAGAAACTGTCACTTTTGTTCGCGATTGTGGCTATGAATCTCTGCCCCATCTACCTTACTCACTTGACCTGGCACCTTCGGACTTCTTCCTGTTTCCAAATCTGAAGAAACAGATTTCCCTTGAAGACGGAGGAATCAAATCACGGCTCGGCATTCAACTTTGTCCGGCATGACACCTACTCCATTTCTCTTGGCTCTAACTATAATTCACCACGACCTACAAAAATGTGCATGGATATTACTAAGATATAAATAAACCTGCACAATTTCAGATCCCTAGCACATCTAGATCATGGTGAGGGTAAGAACTTATTGGCCTCCCCTCGTACACTATAGGTTAAGAAGCCAATTCTCATATAGTGACACTGGGCCTTACTAATGAAATATTACATCATCTTTATATATATCTACTTAGGCAGTCTTTGATATTTAAAATCAAAGACATTTATTTCAGTTGTACCAATATATAGTATTTAATTATTTATGTGACCTACAAGTCTAATACTAGACACAGATAAAGGTATGAGAGTTAAAATAACCAGTTGCATGTATGTCATATATGTTATTTACTCTTGTCAAATCCCAGATATAGATGAATGTAGCCTTAACAAAGGGGGCTGCAAATATGGTTGCATCAATATACCAGGAGGCTTTGAGTGTACCTGTCCAGCTGGCTTTAAACTTCACTGGAATCTGAAAGACTGTATAGGTAAGTGTCTTGAACTCTTTGTTGGGGTTTAGAATATTGAAAATCTTTTTTTATTATATACAGCTTAAAAGGTCACTTTCAGAATCAAATCAAAAACTGGACAAAAATTATATTTTATCTGTTCACATGCATCTTTTTCTAATGTTTATGTGTGCCTGTGATGTTCTGCCTTGGGATAGGGTAAGTTGTTAAAGATATATTTGTGTCAGTATAGGACAGACACACAAGCATACCTTTAAGTCTATGAGGAAAAATAGATTACAGAAATAAGTGCCAGATAGATTAAATTGGAATCAATTGCAATGATGTTTCTCTCTCTGCAGAGACTTGCTTTGAAAAGTACCTGCACTGAATGTAGACTAAGGTGAAAACAATATAAATAGGTGAAGGTTGTACAGGTTTAGGTATAATACCTTACAATTTCATGCACACATCAACAAAGGTAGAAAAATATGTGCATCAGCCTTCTGAGTATTGCAAATAACTCTTAAAAACCTGTAATACATCTCGTAGGTCCGTTATAGGACACATGTATTGACACATTCGTTTTGCCCTTTAGAGCTGGTAAAATGTATGATGGCTGGAATGTCCTCTCGTGCGGCTTTGACTTGCTCTCGAAATGGGAAGAAGGACACCTGCTCTCTCACGTGTAGCTCAAAGACTTTGCTGCAGCCAGGTAATTTGCTAGATAGCATTTGTGGCATAATGATTGTCCTAGGAATTGTTTTTATTTTAGAAAGTACATTTTAAAATGTGTATCTAAACCCAAGAACAAGAATGTATATACTGCAGCTTAACAGTCTTTGGGTGCGGTGGCTGCATAGGTTTTCTTTCTACAAGCTTTTTACACTTTATTTTTACCTGGTGAAGCTGCCAGCTACTCTGTGGAGCAGACGCGTTATCACCTTGGGACAGAATGTGTGTTAGGACTACAGAATGCCCCCCTTGCTCATCATATTCATAGCATTTACCAAGATGAGCTGGGCAGGGCTGATAACAATATTTGAGTTTAGCATTGTCACCCCATTACAGGAAGGAGCCCACTGGATTTCTGGCATTATCAACTGGTATTTTCTGCACTTATAACAAAATACTGTCAAGTGCATATAAAGCACTAAGGGGAACATCATCATTAGGGATCACATATACATTAAGTTTTGAAAATGTTCATTTCTGTTTCCAAGATGTAGAGTTTTTTTTTTTATTATGTACAAAAAAAGGGGGATATCTGGTTCAGTGGTTCACATGCACTGAAGGGGAAGTTTAAATGAATATAAAAACAGCACATATTTCCTAAAGGAACTGTATGTAAGTTAAGGAAATATATTTTTATTTTTAAGATATTTTATTTGAATATTGTTACTTTTGTAAAATGAGACTACTCCATTTCTATTGCAGAGTCAGAGAGCAGTTATATTTTCAGCTGTGGATCTCCAGCACATAAACCTGGACTCAGCCCTAAACAGAATTCTAGCCATCACTGCACTGGTAACTTCATATCTTTCACAATGGGGGAAACTAGAAATGCATGAGCCCTATGACAAAATATGATTGCTGTCCCCTTGCCCTCCAAGATCAGTTGCCAAGGCATAACACTACTAAGCCATAGTTACTTTGAGGCTTACACCCTAATGACTTCTTGTAACCACAGTCTTGTAAAAGCTTAGTTTCACGCACCTCCTAAAATATCAGTAAGGGTGTCATTGAGATAAAAAAAATCTTAATTCCTTATTTGCCCATTCCTTCTGAACACATATATGAAAACAGTTCTAAGATAATAAAATGATTGGTCTTGCTAACTACCTCCCTCTTCCAATGGGCCTTTCCACAGACTTTAGACTTCTACCAAGGCTTGCACCATTCTGAAATTTAATGTTGCTACAAAACTGTTTGCTTTAACCATAATCTACAACAAACCCACAGTTATGGTGATAGTTATATACATTTTCTAATCTAAATTGTCATTTTCCCATACTTAAGCTACCTACAGGCACTAAATATTAGGCAGAGTGCAGGCTCAATGCAATCTTTACAAAATCTTTCCATCAAAATACATTGTACATGCATGTGCAGGCCAAATTTGCATGTTTATGGCTATAGAGGTGGGAGTGCATGCCTTTAAAACACGCCTAGTTTACGCATATCTCCAGAGAAAACAAAAAAGACAAGCCAAATGATTTCCATGAGGTTGGGGGTGTGTGTTCAGATGTACTGTTGTTGTCTGAACCAGCTATAACCAGCTGGATTGGGCAACGATCATCTTGTGTCTGTGGGCACTTTTGATTGCCTTTTTGAAACCTATGATCGTTTTTCTTTTCCCATTTTAGAAACTCTGGTACCACCAGTAAAGCAGAGAGCATCATTCAAACTTAAAGATTCCAGATGTGGCCTGAGAGTGCGTGGCAGATCAGCAAGAGGGGAGGAAAGCGCAAGACATGGAAGTATGAGAAATGGAGAAGGCGAAAAGTGGTAGGAAGAGAGGATGAAAAGGAATTGTGGGAAAGGCAGTAAAAAAAAGGACATTCAGGAGATAAAAAAAAGAACAGAGATGTGCCAAGGAGGGGTAGAAAATTCAGATTAGAAAGTTCAGTTACTTTTAAGCTGTTAATTATTTTTATATCTTCTTGCCATTTCTTATGATCTTGCTTATCTTGTCCTGGTTTAGGTTCTCATGCATCATGCTCAGACTGCCAGCTAACATATATTCATTTGAAATGCGATTCTCTCTGGAGGAATAAAGGCCGCAGCACTCGCTCTTCTCCCAGTAAAGAGGTTACCAGGATCTCATTAGAGTTGGAAGCTGAAGTCAAATTGGAAGAGGCCACATGTAAGAGTTTTCAGGACCTGGGATAAGTTTAAGTATTATAATGAAATGAAAAGCTAATGCTCAGATTGATAAATATTGACATTTGTCACTTCTGAGTGATACCATGAAAAATTCTAGAGGCTGCTGAAGTGCAGATGAGATAAAACTGGGAGTTTTGAATTGTTTATGAGTTCTACGTAAGGCTTCTTATCAATGCAAATAAGATTGTTACTGAGGTTTAATTGTGGTCCAGCAGTGGTTCAGTTGCTGAACTACTGTAATACAGCTCTAGACCGATTAGAGACTTCAGGTTAAAAAGTCAAATATTTTTATTTTATTTTCCCAGCAAGCTGTGGGCTGACATGCCTCCGCCAGCGACTAGAACGTAAGATTAAATCTACACTGAAATCTTTGAGGAAATCTATCAATCAAGAGAGATTTGTGATACGCTTAGCATCTGTAGAATATGAGGTAGCACAAAAGGGTGGCACAGCAACCGAAAGGGGAGAAAACTGCACTCCAGGACATCACCGCATGTGGGGAAAATGTGGTAAGGAGGGGGAATATTTGCCTTGAATCATTCAAGACGAGGGCGTGAAATGAATGAATGTGTGAAAACTTTGTTTTGTAAGGAATCCTAGAGTAGATGATCATACCCCAAAAGCCTAGTTAGCTCTTGCTGAATATATGACTGAAATTATGTGGGCACAGACTATGCTACTATTACTGTCTGTGTCCCCACCAGGTAGATTCATCATGTACAGGTGACAACTGTCTTTTAGGGGAATTCTCTTGACTTTGTAGAGATTTCCTCTTAATTTTAGTTGTGTTTCCAGGACAAGTAGCGATAGGAAATTCTTCCCAATAAGACACATAAAGCAAAGCATAAACGGACAGGGATTTTAGCCATTCCATAGAAAAATAAGTTATGACTATACAGTATATACACGTTAAGAAAACATTTACTTGCTGACCTTAGTAGACTGGTAGATTTTGACAGCATATACAAATGACTGAAATTGTTGACTCCATTTTATCTGTCAACAGGAAGAGGAGGGGACCCGGCGGCATACCTCATCCTGCCGGGTGAACATCCCCTCCTCTCTCTGCCGGCGTCCATAAATAGTGAATATTATATAGTTTTTGTACATATGATTGGAGTTTACTGCATTTCAGAAGATATTCATCTTGCTACTAAGTTGTTTGATCATTTTAATTAAAATGTTTATTTCTTACAGTACGTGACACTTTCTTAGTTCTCTTCTTACCACTCTCCCTGTTTCTCAGCTAGCTGCCCTCCTGGTACATATTACAATGGCCAACTTGATCAATGTCAAGCATGTGCCCAGGGGACCTTCCAAGATAAAGAAGGGCAGCTGTTTTGTGACCTGTGCCCAGGGGCAGAAGCCAGCGGACCACCAGGAGCCGTTAATATTACAGCTTGTACTGGTATGATCAAATAATGAGCATTGTAAACTGTTAGATTAGTAAATTCTATGACATATAGGTTTATAATTTAAAAATGATCATTATGTTCTCTGCAGGTCAGTGCCTTTCAGGCCAATTCTCTACAGATGGTTATAGACCTTGTCAATTGTGCCCACGTGGTATGTACCAAACAGAATCTGGGCGGACTCACTGCATACCTTGTGGAGGGGGACTGAGCACTAGACATGAAGGAGCCATATCTTTCCAAGACTGTGAAACTAAGGGTAAGGTACCTTACACAAATATAAAATGTAATCGTTTTCAACTCTTTTTTTTTTCCTCTTGCTTGAATAAAACCAACCAGGCCTTGGTCAAGTGCAGAAGGACACAAATACACTAATGTTAAGTCCTGTGTATTGCCCCAACCTCTTGCAGTATGTGCTTCTTATATTGCAGTTTCTCCCAGCATCAAAGAAAACACAGACTGCTTTTTTTCATGAAGTATTTTCACCTACAAATGCTACTAATGTTGGCCTAGTAGGGCATGCCACAATCTAACACTAATGTTCTTATAACGTTCTGGATCCCTGCAGTAGACCACAGCAACCCTTCTGCCGCATACTGGGTGTCACAAGATGATGCCAATTTCTCCAAAAGAAACCTCTGATTCTCTTCTACCCTTTTTACAAAACAGACTCTGTACTACTTTTATTCTAAGACAAGTATTTTTCTTTCTTCCATTTTTAAAGGATACTGAACTAATGTTAAACTATGTTTCACTCTTCTCTCTGTTTTCCCACAGTTCAGTGCTCACCAGGCCATTATTATAACACAACTCTACATCGCTGTATTCGCTGTACGATTGGCTTTTATCAGCCTGAATTCCGGCAGAACTTCTGTATTGCATGTCCTGGAAACTCCAGCACGGACTTCGATGGCTCCACCAGTGTCGCCCAGTGCAAGAGTGAGGGGACATAGCGGGACAGCAAGAAGGTCATGGGGGTGGATTAAAAGGAAATGTAACTTGCCTAGGGAGATGGTAGGGGAGGCAATGGCGATGCAATTAACAGAGTATGACAGGATCACAGAAAGCTAATATTGGTATAGTTTTATAAAAGAGTACCCTAATAGAATGTTAGAATCCTTACAATATTTACAAATAATAAGGCCAGTCAGGAAATATTAGGTGCAATACAGGATTTCTAAGTAAAAATATGCTGGCCAAAAAATGATGAGCAGCTTAAACTTTTTACAGACACATCATTGTCAAAAACACTTGAGATTCCTAATGATAGTATTACCTAATTTTTAGAACAAGTATTTTGTTACAAACATTTTAGTATTTATATTATATATTGACGTCACTGTTGTTTCTGTGATTGAGCAGCTTGGCATCACACTTTAGAGAAGTGGTGGTCAGCTTGAAAATGAGAGAGGGTCACAAAGGAACACTTTGAGAAGGCTGCACAATAGCAGCATTGTTTCATGGATTAAGTGAAGTTAGGCAACCATTCAAAATAACGCACTTCAACTCCTGAAAATTTTGGTTCTGAATTTTTTGCAGCATACCGCAACCCATACTTAAGAGAAAATGGGAGTAAAAGAGGCCCCCCGCATTGGTGTCAGTGGCAATAATAACCCCTAGAACTGGTGTGAGTTTCAGCAATCAAATTCCCAGTGTTAGTGTCAGAGGATGCAGAAATAACCCCAGCCAGGGGCATTGCAAAGATTGTGAAAGATCTGGGGCAGCTTGTTTTTTTAATTTAAATGCTTTTATTAAAATATGAAGCATAATTAGATACCTGTGTGATGTTTTATAGTTAGTTGATGTTTCCTTTATTTATAAGTTCTGAAAAATGAATAGGAAAGCAACACTGCTGGAATTGTCGAATCCTACTATCTTTCAGCTCCTAGCGCAGTTGTCCTGGCTGACAGTGCTTGAGCTGTTTGCTGATAGTATGAATGAATTAAAGTTTTTCTTCATCTACAGCCCTAACAGCTCCAGAAAAAGTTTTAATTCATTCATGAATACGATTAGCAAGCAGCTCCTATTTTCTACCTCTGCGCTATCATTTTTAGTGTGCAACTTTGCAGTGAGTCTCACCAGAGCTGTATGCTAGCAGAGATTCAGGAGCTAAATTCTATGTGGTAGTGACCACTGCTCCCTTTACAAGCCGCACACTGATAATGATAGTGCAGAGGCTGAAATCAGGAGCCGATAGTATAAACAAGTGAAAGGATTTTTTCATCCTGTGGCCTTAAGAACTATGGAGAGACTCTCGTCAGAGCAATCAGGGCTGCAAGATTAAAACACTTGTATTCATTTATACTGTCAATATTGTCAGCATGAGCTGTGACCGCTCTGGGGGTAGCTAGAAGATATTATGATCTGACACTCCAAGAAGTATTTTGCAGATAGAAACCAATTAAAAAAATTGCACACATGTATCTATAATGCATGTTTTAATAAAAGCATCTAAATAAAAAAGATTGATCTGGTGACAGATACAGACTTATGTATGTTATGTAGTTTATGTAATTTGCAAATTACTATCCCTTTTTGGAATGGAAACTAAATTATTATTAGCTACAGGAATTTGATTTGGAAACTATTTCTATTGCCCAGTACGTTTTTTAAGGGTCTGCTGTAGAAAAAAATGTAAACTGTGGTCAATATAGAAAAACTCCAGGCTAATTTTGAAGTTGCACACTGCTTTATAATGAGGAGAGAGTGGAAATACATTTTTTACCTACTTTTAGCTTTCAGGTAACCTACTTTAGCTTTCATCAAGACGAGAATTTTATTCAAAAGATTTATTCTCCTTTTAAGCTGACAATAATTACATTAAGACATGATACTTAACCTACATTGCATTCGGCAATTGTAGAAAAAAAGTATTAGATTATAAAACTGTTTCAACCTTACCTTTTTTTTTGCAGACCGGCATTGTGGAGGGGAACTGGGGGATTACACCGGTTTTCTAGAGTCACCAAATTATCCAGGAAATTACCCTTCTAGCGTTGAATGTACATGGAACATCAATCCACCACCCAAACGTAAAATTCTGCTAGTGGTACCTGAGATTTTCCTGCCCTCTGAAGATGAGTGTGGAGATGTACTGGTCATGCGCAAAAATGGTAAATGCATAAGGCTGCATACTAAAGTATAATTGTAAATGGTTTATAGTGGGGAAAATTTGGAGGATAGTGGAGCAGTAGTAATTCAGCTGTAATAGTAGTAGCCTCACTAGTAAATTTTAGTTCCAAATGTACAAAGGGTTTGCCCTTTTATATCCTATAGGTATCAACCCTTTTACTATTAGACTGTAAGCCAGTAGTGGTCACCTAAGTGATGCTCACGATGATAGCCTAGTTTTTATGAACCTGCTACTATTTATACAACGCTACAACAAAAATAATCTGTTTTGTGTAAAACTTTAATGTAGTGTTATTAGAAGTCGCATTTGCACAGGTATTTGGACAGAAATTCACAGTTTTACAATGGTAAAAATCCAGGATAACATTGTCCTCGCTTACCAAAGTGTTTAATGCTTACCAAGTTAAAGCAAATGTCATCCAGCACATCCAACATATTTTTGGGGAACTGAGGTTTAAGGGTATTTTTCTTTTAACTGATTTTTGAAACCGCAAACAAGATAGTTTAGATATGAGATAAAGGTTTTAGAGTACCTTTTCATACAGTAGATATGTGCACATCAGACCAAAAGAGCGACTGAGGGATTCGGTTCCAAATGAGGGACAGTTGGAAGGTATGCTATAAAAGTGATCTGTCTGCTGCAGGGGTAGATAGGACAGAGTTGTGTCACCTCTGCTCTAGTCTGCAGACTCACAGGATAGGAGTGCTACACAGGAGTGCTCTGTAGCAGGAGCGGGCGCCCAGCAGCTGATGGATCCATCTTTTGGGCTTAGAGTTGGAACTTAGCTTTCACTAAGAAAGCAGAGCCCTCACTTTTAAAAAAAAATCTGTTTATGTATTGTTAGCAAAGTGTGATGCCACTGTATAAAAGTTAATCACTATTCTAATACTTAGGAAGAGGATTCTTAGTTATTTTTGGCGGGAGTCCTCTGCATGCTTCTTGAGCTATTAAATAGATACAGTAAAGGCACCTTACAGTATATGTGTTTATTACTTTTTTTTGCCCTGCAAATTAAAATTTGTATGAAGGGTTATTGTTATTTAAATAATAATAACAATAATAATATTTTGCCATAGATCTCAAACAACCTTAATTAGTAGCTCCCACTGAAATAAGGCAAAAATGTATTTGAAACTTTAATTGTTATTATGCCCATTAGCTGTGCAATCAACAATATTTGGAAACAAATTCATAGCTGATACATGAATGGAAAGCAAGGGCATCAGCATCCACAGCAGCAGCTAAGCATAATAAAATACTGTATTTTAATTTGATTTAATCTGTTGCCACACAGCTTCACCTTCTTCCATCACCACCTATGAGACTTGTCAGACATATGAGCGACCAATTGCCTTCACAGCACGATCACGCAAGCTTTGGGTGCACTTTAAAAGTAATGAGGTCAATAGTGCCCGTGGTTTCCAAGTGCCTTATGTCACATATGATGGTAAGACAAACATTTTCTAAAATGTATATTTACATTAGTTTACTGAATAAAGTTTACTACTAATGATAGGGTTGGATTCTTACATAGGAAGTTGCGTAGGGTGACTTGCACAAGTGACACACTACCCTAAATTGCCATGCCAATAAAAGCTATCTAATAAAATGGCTTCAGCCTGCTTGCCAATTGGGACATAAATGTTGCCACTGAGCACATTGGTGTAATTGATCACATAGTATATTGATGTAAGTTCTCATGATCTATGTCTGCATGGAACAGAATTGCTAGCAAAGTCGGGAACGTCTACTTGATTAACATAGATTACTTTTTTTAATCGGTAGTAGATGTCTTTAAAGAAGAACTGAACAGACCTACAATTACCAGTCTACACTTGCTGGATGATATTTCCTAATTTGATACCTGCCCATTTGATCTGGAAGAATAACAGTCACCAATTATGTAGTGTCAAAATCTAATTAAGTGGATATTATTTGAATTGATCAGTTGAACAGGTCCTCAAACTATATACAGTAGCTGCCTGTAAATTTTACTTAGCTGTCTGATGAAATCGTAAACAAAATCTGGCTGTGTATGGCCAAATTAAAGTACAGATTGCTTAAAATGACTCTGTCACCACAGGGTCACTTGCATAGAAGGCAAACTGTGTAAAGAAGAGGCAATATATTTACCTTACCGGCAGTCTGTGTGTTAAAACAGCGCTGCTTTGATCCTACTCTGGCCGCTGTAGCTACTCCACACTTCTGGGTCTGTAGATATTTACTCCACCACATGCAATAGGTGCTCCTGCCAGCTAAATTCACCACCATAGCACAGCACTGTGGATGTGGCAACAGTTACTAGTCTAATTGAAGGGTTGAATACCTGCAGTAGCCAAGGAAAAGCAAAGAAGAAAGGTAAGCATATTGCCTCTTTTTTTACCTTGTGTCCAAGTGACTCTATTGTGACAGGGTCAGTTTAGGATGTCGGGGTTGGGGTTGCTGATATTTGTTGTTCATCTTGTTTAGCCCCATTATGAAGCCATTATTAATATACTTTTTTATAGATTCGGAGAAAGAATTGATATTTTTGTATATATTCAATATCTGTACATTTTGGTATTCCTTTACATTCATAGTTCCTTACAGTTTACCGGCCATGTAAAGCGCAAATACAAAATAAAGCTTTAACCACAATTGCAAAGAGCACAAAATGATATTAAAGAGGACCTAAACTTTGAAAGCTGTTACCAAAAAAGTCAGGCCAAGGGCAAAGTACTAGTCGCCAATATTGCCTGTGGTCTTGCGGCAGCTGAGAAACAAACCCTCTAAAAAAGGGAAAAAAGAGTAGATTCTACTAAGAAACTCAATGAGGAAAATTGAAAGTTTCCATTTCGACAAAATTTTGCCAGTGGCAAAATTGGTTTTCTCAAAATCACCCTGTTAATGAAATATTTAAGACAGTGTTCATCAACACTACACAATGAACTGCCAAATGCAGCCTGCAAGTACAGGTGACAGGAACTGGCTGCAACATACCAGAAAGCTGTTGTGACAGAGATATCTTATCCTCCGTGACAGTTAAATGAAGCAACACATATTAACAGGTGGATATGTAAAGACATTAGAATGTAGAACACTGAGAAAGTATAACCAGAAAGTTATGGTGGGGAGGGACTGAAGCAACTAAAAAGCCCTCCACTAAGCCACTGCATAGCACAGTAGAACCTTCTTAAAACAGAAGGTATTAACATGTCTCATTCTATAAGATATACAAAAAATAAGGGACATATAACTCATTTTAAATCATTTATTTTTACCCCATTAGCTTACTAGTTAGCCAGTGGAGTAGAAAGGAATAATTTGCATGGCTCCACCTATTATCCTGAAATAAGAAATATTTCCCACTCTTTGCGATATGTGATGAAATAGGGATATGTTAAAACCTTCTAAGAGGGATTTACAGTGCTACTACAGAGAACAATGCATTTTCAAAAGAATTTGTGCAGAATTTTCAGTTACACCGATGTTAGACTTGGTGGGCTATCGCAGCAGTATTACAATCTATAGGCACAAGCCTATGGTACGTTATGAAAGTAATCTGTCTTTACCTGTATACTTACAATGTGTACATGAACAGAATATTTTTGTGTTGTTTCAGAGGACTATGAACAACTAGTAGAAGACATTGTGAGAGATGGGAGACTTTATTCATCTGAAAACCACCAGGAAATTCTAAAGGTAGCTCTACGCCAATCCCTTGTTTATCTTTGTTAGTACAATCTGTACATTTTTTTATTCTATACTATACTGTTTATTTTTATTAACTTTAGTTTCTCTCTAATTTTCTTTGTATTTTTTTTTTTCCATCTGCATTATTTTTTTCATTTAGCATGTAAATTAGAAGGGTAACTTGGGTAAGCAGAGGCCTATCCTACCACTGAGGATTGTATGGACCATAAAATGAATGAACATCTGCCGACTTCAAAGAGATTGGATAAAATAAGTATCTGTATATATGTATACAGATATATGTTTATTTTAAAGACAGACCATACAAAAATAGGTTTTTGCTGATATTAGAAGCAGATGAGGTTTGGAGATGCCCTAATTGATATTTTAAGCAACATATAGATATTCAGCTTCCTGATAGAAGTGTTGCCTTGAGAAGCAAAATAAAGATAAAGAGAGTGTGTGTAAAAGCAATTACTGTATATTGGATTATTTAATGTAAAGAAGTAATGAACAAGAGAGTGAGAGAATGGAGATTCCTGGAAAAATACCCCTGCCTATCCACAGTTGGCTTCCAGTTCCATTTTTGGGTGATCCATCAATGCTTTTCCACGTTGCATGCTAGCTGCAGATAACTGTGATTAAAACAATTATTTTAAATATTTAAAACAAATTATTAAATAGCATCTTTGGTGATGTGTTGCTGGACAGAAATCATTTAAATTCTGATATATTTTCTCCTTTCCCAGTTGCTAATATGTTGGTCATATCTGCCAGAAATATGCCATCAGCTGGCAACAATCATAATATATATTTTTATGTAAATACTGACACACAGCATTGCAGAGGGGATGTTGATCTTTCCTCAACCCCTGTACTGATGCAGAGGAGTGCCATGTGTAAAAGTAAAATAAATCAAATATGATAAAACGGAAGCAATTGTAGAGGTACAGATGCACATAGGTTTCAGGGCTTAAGCTCCCACCTACATGGCCCAGGAAGCCTTCTCACATTATTGCTGTACACTGAACAGTTTTTGATAAATGATCACTGCTACTTTAGAAAATTACCTGGAATTAGTGTGACACTTCTAAACAGCTTTGTAAATTTCTTTCTCTGTTTTTTTCTTTTTAATGACTGATTTTTTGAATTTTTTTTATAGGATAAGAAGCTGATTAAGGCTTTTTTTGAGGTCCTTGCACACCCTCAAAACTATTTCAAATACACAGAGAAACATAAGGAGATGTTACCACGATCCTTTATCAAACTTCTGCGCTCCAAAGTATCAGCCTTTTTGCGACCGTATAAGTAATATGAACTGGATTATGGACTGTGAAGCAAATGCGCAAGCACATTGTATGTGCAGAGGGCCACATTTATATCACAATCAGCAAAATGCACAAGAAGAACTACAATATGACTAAACATATTGATAGAGTTTGCCAGCATATGATTTAATAAGACTGATGCGTTTTAAACGTTTGTGTCCTTTTGATGAGGTTAGGCTGGTATAGAAAGACATTACACTAACCCGCAACGTCCTCATATGCTATGTATTATTGACTGTGGCCATGTCATTAAAAAAAATGATGGGCACAAACCACCATTGTACAATGGACATCTTGGATGATGCCGGTTTTGGAAACACTTTAAGGGTACAGAGTTTTAATTTTTTTTGACAACCTCTGAACCAAAAGAGTAATTTAGTAATTTCGCCATATTTTTTAACAATAATATCCTTTAAACAGTTTCTTGAAAAATTATCTCATGTGATCCACTGTATAAGCCTGTTGAATGTACAAACTGATAAACGCCTTAGGACTGTTGAATGCAGAATGCAGACATTTGTAAAAAGCCTTTACACATTTAAAAGTGATTATACAAAATATTTGTTAGGGTATATGTAGATGAGGAGGTGTCTGAAAATGACAAACGGTGACATGACAAACCACCAATGAACCTACCAGGACCTGCTGTGATCTTCCCTGTGACTTGGCTGGTGAAAAGAAGTGGTACCCCTATGGAAATATAAATGCAATAGAATTGAACATAAAACTCTCTGCATGTGATAAGTGTTTCCAACATTTGTATGTGCACTTTCCCCTAGGGAAAGTCCTGTGCAGCCCAATCCTCGCCTTAATCCCACAGGCGATGCTCAAATCATGCTTTATATTGTCTTCCTCTTGTGGTCGCCTTTAACCACTTGCTGTCCGGAGCAATTTCTTACTATTTGCACACACATGATATAATCTGAATTTTTGAGTAGAAACAGTTTTATACACTCAAACAATGATATATTTTCTGAAAGCAGAGGCCCTGTAGAATTAAAAAAATGCTAGTTGCTATGTTTATCAAACAAGTATTTTTAGGATTTCATATACTAAAATGAAATTTAGTGCACAGAACAGAATATAATATCCAATTTTTTGGTAAAATATAAAAGGCGGGGTCACATCGGATGAATAGATACCAAACCTTAAAATTGCGTTCGCCTGTGAAGCTGCAAAAAACTTCAATACCCCAAATTTCTCATAGGGGACACTTTAAAAGCTTTTACCGCTCATCGGTTTAGTTCTAACAGTAATTAATGGCTCTAGAATTATTGCTGTCACTCCGACGTTCGTGGCGATATGTAACATGTGCATCGCAATTTTAATTTTTGCACGTAGGTGCACCAACGTGTGTTTGCGTATGTATGTGCGTGCACGAGGGGGGCAGGGGACTTTAAACCTTTTTTTAGCATTTTTTAAATTTTCTTATATGTTAATTAAATTTTCTTTATTTTTTAAACAGTTTTTTCTTTTTTTACACTAACCTTATTGCTATCACATAGGGGACTAACAAGCCCGCTATGTAATAGCAGATAGGGTGTGGCATGTCCTCTTTACGGAGACATCAGGGGTCTTTCAGACCCCTAATGTCACCCAGGTACCCCAAAGAAGCGGAGGAAGCAGAGATCTGCTTCCCCAGCTTCTTCTCCTGGCTCTAAGAGCCAGAGAATGTAAACAGTGACACTGGAAGTGATGCAATGCATATCACCTCCAGGCCCAGTGATCGGAGGAGAGATAAGCGGCTGTAAGCTGCTGTATCTCTCTCTGATCGTTGCGGGGAGACCCGCCGTGCCGGTCCCGGGCCCTGCACGGGGGACAGCGGAGCCCGGGGAAGCCGGCGGAGGGGGTGGGGGCAGCACATGCCAGCGATCTGTACAAACGATCCGGCGGCTGTATAGATGCTAGATCGCTTGTACCTGAACAGCCATCGCCGGCTGTTTAAAATGACACCAAGAACACGCCCGCCGTATATGTACATATTGCAGCCCGGAAGTGGTTAATATACTTAAGCCATTGGTTGAAATGGATAGTAAATACAAAACTGGTACAGCCTAAAGCCTAAGTTCTGTATGAATGCTACAAATTCTTATTTTGTTCCATTGTATTATTGTGATTGAGGAGAAAAACAATTACAGCATTCTGCCTCATCAGGTTACTTCCCCAGTAAGAAATGTAATAAATGTAAGCTTTGAAATGTTTTTTGACAATATTGCAAAAAAAGGAAACATGTAGTGTAGACTCAGAGTGGCAATCTGGAATTTGCCATGAAGGTTAGTATATTGGACAGAATCTGAATGGTAGAGTGAGTTTCTGAAGACTGCTCAGCATCGATAAACACTGTTTAAACTTGAACTCCAAGCAGATATAAAAGACACACATTAATGCGGCAATTATTATTTTTTAATGTAATTAGTGTAAATAGCTGCATTTTTCTTCCAGCCTACTCTATAGTCTGCACAGCTGAGCTTAAAGATGGGGAGGGATAAGCAGCATAGAGAGCCAATCAGTGTGCTGCAGTGATAATAGGAGGAGAGATCAGAATGGCAGAGATGAGCTCATCAGTGTGCTGCTTCTCCCTTCACTGTCCAGTCCCAGGATGGAATGTGGGGTGGGGGGGTCTTGTAAGTAAAAGTGAAACTGCAGCAGAGAAAGATCAGTTTCCCTGCCATTGCCAGAGAGGACTGTGATGTGGGGCAGAGCTGTGTAATCTCAGGACTGAATAGCCTAAAGGAAAATGGCATCTCTCATATATATATTTCACCTGTTTTTTTTAAGTGTTGGAGTTCAGCTTTAAATAAAGTAACAGAACTTACTAGACTGCTATTTCTGCTCATGTCCATTTTAATCGTATAGGAAGTATAGCCAGTACATAAAACATTAGTGCCCCATTGGCAGTTAACTTTGGTAACATGCGCTAATGTGGGCCGGTGTGCTTTGTATGCCAGGGTTTCTTTTTGGTCCCATTTTGGCACTTGACACGCAGTTGCCTTATGTATGCCTGAGAGCACCTCTTTGATTTCCCAAAAATGAATGGACCCTACCTACTGCCGGTTTGTATTAATAATGTTTAGAGATACTGACTGTACTTATTTCTTCTTTATAACTGTCATAGTGCAGCTTGCCTTTGTGCCTGAATTTCTGCAGTGTTAGAGGTACTGAAAGGTTATACTGTTAAATATCTTGCATTATGTTTATGCATACATCAGCTGAAATTAATCATGTTTACTGACTAGGGCGATAAGGTAAGTATTGGTGGATTAACTGGGTCTATAAATGTTACTATGTCACTAGTGCTGTAGTGAAAATAAATGAAGGTGCCGCAAGGACAGAAAAATAAATGTATTATGTACGGAGAGTTTAGCTTTCACATGGATTTTTTGAGTGACAAATCGCAGACATTTTTCTCCTGTCACTAATGATGATTGTCTAAAAATTCTTTGCAAAAATAAACTTGTTTGCACTTGATAACTAAACAAATATGACTGTATGTGTGTGGCTTTATTTATTAGAATGTTTTTTAGAGACACGTATTTGTTTTGCCCTTTATAAGAAATATGCATGTCCGACATATTACTAGTAACCATACAAAGGTCCCTAATGTCTTGCAGCAATAGTCCCAGGATGTTTTTATCCTAAAGTTGGATACTGATTGACTTTTTTATTGTTACATCCATTACTTTCTGTCTTGTTCAGAGTGCAGGGGGCAGGAGTGCATAATGCAGGGGTCAGGAGTGTGTAATGCACAGAGTGCAGGGGTCAGTACTGTGTAATGCAAAGACTGCACAGGTCAGGAGTAAGTAAAGCACATAATGCAGAGATTAGGAGTAAGTAAAACACAGAGTGCAGAGGTCAGAATTGTGTATTGCACAGAGTGCAGGGGTCAGGAGTGTGTAATGCACAGAGTGCAGGGGTCAGGCGTAAGTAAAGAACGGAATGCAGAGGTCAGGAGTAAGTAAAGCACAGAGTGCAGGGGTCAGACGTATGTAATACACAGAGTGCAAAGACCAAAAGTAAGCAAAGCACAGAGTGCCTCCCAATCAAAAATTCCTCCCTCCTACAATACAGTCCTCCTCACCCCATTGAGGTGGACAAAACCACCTCCAGCACAAATTCCCCCCTCCCTGAATTGCACTCACCAGACCTTGGCATTGTGTTGCACCTGCGGGTCCCAACGCTATGACTGTCCACACTTTTTATTTCTGCAATTTTTAGAATACGTAAGCAACAAATGGGTAATCAATTGTGGCAATGTGCAGTCATACGGAAGAGATTAGGCATCGAGATGATCCGCTGTGGCCACGTGGGTTTCACCCTGTAGCCCCTGGGACATGGATGCCATTTTTGAAAAGGGAAAGAAAATCAGGAACACTTTTTTACCAAGGTCTGTACCCAAAAACTGGTCACTCTATTAAAAGTTGAACTCCAAGCAGGTATAATATACCAAATTAAAAAAGATCTATAATTATTAGTACATCTTTTAGATCTATTTTTTAGGTGCAAGCAGTGTGAGTACCTGAATGTGACTTGATATCAGACTTCTGCAGCCCCCTATCGAACTCCTGCGAGGGGGGGCAGTACAAGTAGCCACTCCGTTGCGCTGCAGTGCAAGAAGCATCCTGATAGAAGAAAGTGGAGTAACAGAGAGATGAATTCATCAATGAGCTGTTTCTCCTTTCACTATCCAGGGAGGGGAGGAGGCCTGTAAGTGGTACTGAACTGCAGTTCTCCTGCACCACCAGACAGGGCTATGTTGCATGGTTGAGATGTGTACATTTAAGAACTCAATTGAAAGAAATAAAAATACTTTGGCAGGTAAAACAGCTCCCAAATTTTATGTGCATTGTAAAAACGGAGAAATTGCCTACCGTGATATAACAGAAGAAAAGATTGTGGCATATGGATTCTAAGAGCACTGAGTTTTCTAAAGAAAGAGCACAGCAGAAGTTCACTCCTTTTAGGCATGATAGCTCACAGGGCCCATTCACACTATGATGTTGTGGTAACGTGGTAAAACACACATGTTAACAAAAAGTGTGCTCCATGCATGTGTTGGCCATTCATTTTCAAATGCACCACAGTTGATGATGTGTGTGGTGGTGCTCTGCAAATAAAATACAGCAGGGCCTATTTTTTCGTGCAATGAGTTGCATTACAGTTCATTCATTTTGAACAGGCTGCCTAACGCAACATTGCCAAAATGTGCATCAATGCAAGAAAACATGTGCACTGCAGCACACTGCGCTCTGGGCTCTGGTGTCAATGGGCCCTGAATTACACCTTAGACTGAGACTTTTGGAGGGAGAGGGGGACGAATCAGACATCACGGGGCCCAAGGTACAATTAATCCAGCGGTGACCTGTATCTGCCCGCTCATTTCTGCCTCTGATAACTGTTCCTCTCATAAGATTTGGTGTGTCCTTTTTAACAATGTAGTGACAGGTGGTAATGTCCCTACTGTTTTGTTTCATTGTTCTTGCTGGAGAAGAAGCTATACC